AAATTCTCTCAGCCTTATTTGGGATTTGTCTACAGAAGAAGGTTTCTTCTGCTATAAACCAAGGCTTGAGTTCAGCTAAAGTCACATGAACCTCACAGAGGCAAGGAAAAAGAGCAGTGCTGTCTCTCCTAAGCACCAAATAAGAAAAAACACAACCCATGCAAAGTCTGTAGCTCCTGGTGCCCTCCGGGAAGAGGTGTGGTTGCCAAGTAATAGGAGATTGAATTGGGGATGGCAACCAGAAGCTCCAGAAGGCTGAAACAGACATTTCCATGTCTCTATAGGGTACTACAGCTGAGTACCCCATTCCCATACATTCTGGAAGTTATTCCGATGTAATAATGCCCCCAATTTAGAGGATAATTGCTAAAGACAAATTTAGCTATAGTTTTTGGAGCACTTTTTTTTACAAGACAAAGCACATGGAGATTTTAACCCTTCTAGTAGGAAAATCACTTACTCCTTTCTTATTCTCATCCCCATTGCCATGGGCTCATATCTACCAGAAAAGCAAATCCAAACCAAGGACAACGTTTTAAAGTGTGAATCATTGTTTTCACATTCTTACAGAGCAACTTTTCTCTTAAATGGTCACATTTAAACTGAAGGAGTCCTCTGATGCACAGGCACAGTTTACATGACTTTAACAGGAGTCATATCTATGTACCCAACTGCAAGAGCTGGCCTTGGAGAAACAAATAAACTAAAAGCACTGTGTACAATAAATATTCACACAGCTTAAGACTAAGCATATCCATGTAGTATGGTAGACAAATAGATATTTGCAAAATATGCAAAAAGAGTTTAAAATATTTTAATAGAAAATACAAATAAGAATATGCCATGAGATGCTTAAAAGGGAAAGAAGAGAGGGATAACCACCTCAAGAAGAGGTGATTTTGACAGAAGACCTTTCAGAAAGTTTTAAACTTCTTCTTTAAAAGAGTAGGAAGGTGAAGGATTGTAGTCATGGAGCAAATGAAGAGGGATTCAGAGGAAAGCAAGCCAGGTTTCAGATAAACAGTGTAACACATGCAAAAGAAACATAATCGTTACAAGAAAGAAAAAGCAAACAAGAAAACCAAGCAAAGAAACTGGAACATTACAGCACTAAAGCAGAATGGAAACAAAACTGAACAAACTTTCCAAAATAAGCTGAAAATTGTTAGCATTCTTCCCAAGGTTTATCTGTTTGTGTTTAGTCATTAGGTTTGCAACATGTTTAACATGCGAGTGTCCAGGTATTAAGACTTTCATTGGTGTAGGCATATAATACAAGCTTACATTTTCATAATCTGAAGTGGTTTCTACCTCTATAAAAAGCAGCCAGAGGAGTGATTTGAAGGAGAGTGAGAGCTAGGGTTCAAGGTGGGCTGAGTTAGTGACAGTAGCTATTAACTTGAGACACTAGGCAAATCTGTAGAGGGGTTGTAGACTCAGGAAGTCCCTTTCATGCAGTGGGTATGTCAGAGGCAAAGCTATCTCAGCTTCACAGACTTGAGTTTCCTCACAGTTAAGAGTGGGATGGATGATTCTAAGTGGCTATCTTTGAGAACAGTTTTAATACTGACTGCTGGAAAGCAGCATGTAGACTATAACCTGTTACTAACTTGTGGTTCAGTTTGCTATGTGCAATATTCATGTACTCAACGCCTACTTCACTGTGATTACTTGGGGAGTCTCAAAAAATATAAGATGTTTTAAGTGACATTCTGTAACCTTCATTGTAGCTTTAACACATGAAATACCGATCAGGAGTAGCAAGCATTAGTGTAATGCTGACTGGGAAAAGGAAGAAATGTATATACACACACTTTCCTACAGAATGTGGGGTATCAAATCTTACTCCCTTACTCTTCAAGCCAAGGATTTCTATAAGACAAACTTTGCCATTTCATCCAAGGTTATTCAGTCCGAGCCACATTGTACTGCTGCAAGTATTTTTTTATATATATACTATAAATTATTCTCTTATTAGAGTTTTTTGTTTGCTGGTTTTCAATAAAGCTTTGCTTAGGAAAAGCTGAAGTCACATTAGACACAAAAGAATTGCAGCATGCAGAGACCAGGAAGAAAGTGGCCTTGAGCAAATCAAGCAGTAGCAACCTGAAAAAGAAGCACTCCAAATAAGGAGCAACTTACTTGTGTGATGATGCATAAACTATTTATATTGTGTAGTTCAGCTAAAAGACTTTATTATTTCCCCATGTCACTGAAGTGATCAAAGAAGAGGGGTGGGAATGTAATTTATAGTTTGTTTGCATTTTTTCATGCATTCTCAAATTCAAATTGCATACATTACTTTACAACAATAGGACATCTTATATATGAAGCTCTTAAAGCAGCAAACTTGTTTTGGTGGAATGGAAACCCTAGCACAGTCTGTTCACATTAATTACTGTTGTTGTTTTATCCTGAACAAGCTCTTAACTCTTTATTTTCTCCATATCCAACTAAATGTGGGTGGTGTTGGGCTGGCTACAGTGTGTAGCTTTCTCCACTCTCTTCAGCCAAATAGTGAAGCTAAACCTTGGGAGTCTCTCTCTTCCTTATGAAAATAACACCTAATTTCCCATAAGTACAACGCAAAAGACACCTCCTTCCAACAGCTTCAGTCGTTATCATCAGTGTTAGATTAAGCATGTAGTGACTTCATTATTTCCCTGGAAAGGCTGGCTTCTGGAAGCAGATCCATTTAAGCAATTCCTGCACTCAGAAAACTCAGGGGAAGGCAGTCAGGCTGAGACAAGGCTGTGTGGGCTTGCGTATCAGCAGGTTCTAACCCCCAAGAATTTCCTTCTTTGTCTCAGTACAATACAGAATAGACTGCCTGGTACAAACCTCAGAGATGCTGAAGCATGATGGAATAACAGCATATATTTTTAAGTACACTTTGGTTTATTTACTGCCAGGGTCAAGCTAACTTAAGTGCTTTAATACAGTTACAAGAGCTGTTATGCAAAGTGTCTTTTGTCATGTTTTACACATGCACACACCTCGTGAGACACACTGCCTGAGGTAAATACATTTTGCCATAGGTGCCTCCACAGTACTGCAAACAAGTTTTACCTTATTTGTTGACCATTCAATTCTGTATATAAATCTAAGTTAGTATCTTTCATTTTTCCTTTCTTTCCTCTTTTTTTACCGCTTTAACACTTGCATTTAAGAAACACGTTTATGTAAAAGAAACATATACAATTCCTTGTAATGTCAAGGACATTATCCTCTGCTGGTTTGTATATCCTTCCAGAATCAATCCCACCTCTAATACTATAATCCATCTATTAGGCAGTCATACTTACATGGTTCTTGGGTTGTCCTTATATAAACCTAACAATAAAAATATTCAATAAAAACATCAATGGCAATAAATTTTGAAGACAAGTTTTTGTGGGAACACTTCAGAGTAAAATTGAAACAGATTTTCATTAAGCCTTGCAGTAATAAAAAATTATTCTGAGAGCAGTACACAATAATCTGTTACTGAAAAATTTGAAGTTATATTTGCCTTAATTCAGTGATACTCATATGTGAAACATCCTTAAAATTGTCAACAAACTCTGTACCAGTTTTCAGTCCTCCATATGCTCCTACTGTAATTTATGGTATTATAGATATCCGGTGTCTCTGGGCTTGTTATATGAAGTGCAGCAGAGAATTTCTGGTTCTCCAATTTTGCTGCAATGCAGTTTGCTTCTAGGAAAATTCAGAGGCACTGCACTCCCCCATCCAGTTCTCTCAGACTTGTCTCCAGCCAGGGGAGCTTCAGGTGCTTTCCTGGTTCAGGTATAGTACGTATTACCAAGATTTCATTTTCTTCTCATGTAAAGAGAAGTTGTGACACATAAGAATGCTGGTCCTAACTTTGAAACCCAAAATGAAAGCAGAGGTCCTGCTAACAGGCAGTTGTCCCTGCTCCATGACTCAGCCCATGTCCACTGACTCATTTGCTTCTATACACCTTGGCTGCCTCTTTGTTTGCAAATGCAGTACCAGCTGGCTGGAAAAAATGCAATTAAACAATTAAAGTATCACCAAAGCCACCTAGTTTCAAAGGGGTCTCAGTTAAATGGTTAAAAGGGATCACTAGTTAATGGTGACACATATAGTTGTATTTTATTAGGTGACCATAGCTGTGCTTTTCCTCTGTAGATGGAAATATATTGCAGGGATAGCAGTTAGATTCCCCATGCAAGGGTCAAGAATCAGAGTAACATTCCTTTCATCACAGACACAACTTGGGAAGCCTCAAAGAGGAGCATAAGATAAATGTAGTTAGTGTACCACCATACACCGTGAATATGAAAGCATTAAAATCATTTTAGAATAACAATTTATAGATTTAAAGTGAACTGAGAGGTGCTGCCTGCACAGTGAGTAAATTCACAGTCTGAATAAACATTATTTGAGCTCAAACAAGGCGAAAAATTAACAAAATCTAGGCTTTCATGTGTGGGTATTTGAACAGTCATTCCTCCTTCATAGACAATAAATACAGCACTTTGGTTTACATATGTATTCTATTTTTGAAACCCAACCAAACTGGTTTATTGGGTTTATTTTGACTTTCTGAGAAAGTCTAACCACAATAAAATCTATTCAGAGCTAGGTACTAGAGTTTAAAAATAACAATGCATAAATAGCTCTTTCCTGACAAACATTCTTAGAACCAGCCTGAATGTATAACTGCTCAGCTGCAAAAGGGTTTTTATTACACCTGATACAGAGCTACATAAAGAGACTGATCATCTGATCTGGCATGACTTCAAGCTGTGCATTGGTTTTCCTGAGCATGGACAATTTCTAGTGTGTAAAACTGAACTGCATTCAATGCTGGGTTTCTCTAGAAGTTACTAATTGTAATAATGCACATTAGGATGACAGCAAAATTCCATTTTTCTATGAAAAAATTACAAGTATTGATAGGGTGAAATAGAAAGAGGGGTGGATGTGCACGTATGTATCTGTTATATCAGACTGCATGTGTACATTCAAAACACATGGAGGGATGATAGGCAACAAAAGGTAAAATGATGAACTTTATCTTTTTATAAATCCCATTTGTTGTGTTTCCTCATAAAAAAGCCAAACTTTCTGATGAGAACCTATTCTTGTCATATGTATCGTGTACAGAGACACTCCCTTGTGCTCTTTTTGACTCCACGCTTAGCTTTTATCAAAGGCAGATTCTAAGAGACAAGGGAATCAAAAGCAGTCTAGCCAGCATATCTATCCAAGCTGCTCTCCAGCACTGCCATTCCCAGGTAAAGCCAGACTAATCAGAATATAGGTACAAGGTTATAAATACCTGGCATCATTCTAAATACCTGGCATCGTTCAAAGGTTCAGTGAATCTAGCAAGAAGACAAAAGTCCATTTTAACCACGTGCATATATTCGTGTACTAAGAGAAACAGAGCTCTTATTTACTGGATTCTGTTACAAGAAGCTCTGCAAAGGCAAAAAAAAAAAAAAAAAGAGGATTTGGCTTTCAGCACAAGCCTATTTATCCATTGTCTTTCAAGTTCATCTCAAACAGTGAGATAAACAAAGATAGGTGATCAAAGGCATACATTACCTTTGGCAATAGACCCCTGGTTTAGCTAGCCTTTGATACTTTGTACCTCGGTGTCACATACAGCAAGCTGTGCTTGGAAGGGAATGACAAGGGTATTACAACATTATGTTGTAAGCAAGTAAGCTCAGAAACGGTCATGAAAATAGGACAACAGTGACAGAGTTTTGTTATTAAGCTGATGAAGCTCAGTAGCTGTACAAGTATAATTTCATATCAGAACTGCCTAAAGCGTGCAGGGTTTCAGAGCTAGACTAAGGTGAAAATGTCAGTGTATGCTAATATGCCCCATCTCTGTTCCAGGTACCAGCATTATCATTGTCAGCAGCAGAACAAAGCAGTAGGTTTCTCCATGTGGAGCTCTGTAGGATGATGCACCAGTGGAGGTTTGAAATTAAATATATTGCATATGTATATGGCTAATTTAGTCTGCAATTATAAAAGGGGGTTGCTTTTGTCAGATGTTTCATGTCATTTGTTGAGGCTTTTGTTGTTGTTGTTACAAATTCATTTCTCTTAGATTAGGCAGTGGTGAGATTGATTCTATCCATCAGGATATCATTTTTCTCCAGTGGAAATGTCAGCTTTATTCTGTTTAAAACTTCGAATACAAAATGATGTTCATTTTGGTCTTGTTTTTGTAAGTGCTTTTTTTCTTTTCTTTTTTTTTTTTTAATTTCTTTCTGCAAGATAATAAAACCCCAAAACAATGCTATGAGCAAAACAACTCAATTATTTCAACAGTAATTAGCAAAGACATCAGGTCAAAGGAATGCAAACATACAAGTCTCTTGCTATGCCTCACTGCAAAACTGTGGTGTGCTGCGTTAGAAGATTTGTTAAATCTTTCAGCAATTGCAGGGAAATAAGTATCAACATGTCTGCTTGTACCCAAGTATTTTTAATATTTTCAAGATGTATATCTAATACTCAGATGTATTCAGATTAATTTATTCAGACATTCCTTAAGTTCAACCTTATTTCTGGTGGAGACAGAAGCTTTCTATTAGCAACAGATTATGTAAGCCTTCCTTTTGCATTTCACCTACATGGAACAGTGACATAAGGAATTAGGTAACTGCTAAAACATTATTGCTGAGACATCACTTTTAGTTGATAGGCAGGCCAACTTTAAAAGAAGTATCTTTGGGGGGGCACTAAAGGCCTGTTTTTCATGAAGTAAGTGTTGCTAACATCTTTGTGAGTTACAGAAAGCTGATTCTATGTTCACACACTAACATTCAGACAGGAAAAGAAAAAGGAAAAAAAGGGTGTTGTTTTTTTTTTATCCCCTAACACACATAAAGTTGAATGGAGGGCAAGGAATAGCAAATGCTTGTTACTGGTATATAATATGCATTGACTTAGAATTCCAATTTGGGGGTTGATGACTTCAGCATACGACTCTTTTAATTCTTTCATATATGCCATGCTATTACCTTAATTCTAAGTGAAGTATTACTTGCAGTATTATAGCATCAGTGGTGCTTTTTGATGGTTCTGTAACTGAAGCCAAGCCATCATAACTGAAGTAAAGTTAAATCCTTCCTGAGGCAGGTTAGGTGAGAGTCCAAAGCATTCTTGCTATCTGAGGAGGATCAATTGCTGAGACATCTCCCCAGGACATACTTAACAGATACACCTCTTTTAAGGCTGTCTCTTGAAAATAAGTTTAGGTGGATTCCTTTCCTCCTCTTGTAAAGGCCATGTGGTGAGTAAGAAAGAGTATGACCTTATGTTGGTGCATGCAGTCTTCAGATACTTCGATCAAGCACTCTGGGTAAATTATCTGACTTTTTGTAGTTTTCAGGATCACAGGCTTCAGAATTAGCTATTTCAACTAAATATTTGGGTGAAACATTCAGCACAGAGCAACCAAGTTATTTCCCCAAGAAATGGATTTTGATTAATTGAGTTTTCAAGCAGGGTCATGCTCTTAGCTGACAAGAATGCAGGCAAGATGCTTTGCCTTTCCCCCACCCCAGCCTTCAGCTAGCATTTGGTAACATACAGTCAACTATGCTTATTCTTAAAAATGTATTGGTGCTTATAGACAGGGTTTTTTTTTTTTTGCAGATTTTTATAAGCAACTTCCCAGAATACTTGAAATACAGGATATCCTATATATTATTATAAATTAAATCTATTCTAGATTAATATTTCACACCCGCTTTGTTTATATCTAGGAGAGTTCAGGATATTTCCATTGAAACCAAAGGTCTAACCTCAGGTTTTAGTGCTATCATAGCAAAGCATATGACTGAGGGTGGTTACTGCAACTTCATATATAATGACTACACTTTGCCCTTTAATTTCTACAATTGTGCTTTTCTGCCCATCTTCATATGCCTCAGAGAGATGTCAGAAGGCAAGATTTAGCGTTGAATTTTGAGATGGTGGAGGGAAAAACCCAAAACCATGCAACAAAAGACCAGAAACAAGCCAAACACAACCAGGAACACATGAGGGTTAAAATGGTAATAAGAAAATCATTAGCTTTCAGTATCAGAGGACAGGATTTACTACATTTAGTAAGCTCCTTATTAGTAAGTTGACTATGAGAAACAAAAATCACCTCTTCCAGATGCACCTGGCATTCCTCTTTGCTTCCAGGTTTTCTCCAAGGTGGGCCATTACTTTTAAATGCACAAATATGTAAAACCATATGCCAAGCCTCAGTGCAATTAAATTTTCATTTGAACACACCCTGGAGCAGTCTACAATATTTAAGTGTTATCAATGCAAAGCTTTAGCATCATGCACTACCATCACTGTAACAGTTTGTCCTGCAGTATTCAAAGTGGTGAAATCTGATATTACAGTATAACTCAGCTCCCTGGTACTTGGAGGGGAGTGAGTGTTACCAAAGGAAAATCTAAGTTAAAGACTTACAGTTATTGTATGCATGTGTCAGCCAATATTTTATATTTAAACCATGAGACTTAAGAAGCTTCCATCTACCAAAAGGAGTGATGGCAGCTAGCTCATGTATTTGAAAACCACAATGAAATCTCCCATTTAAGTGAGCAAAAGATACAACAGGCCTATTCAGGAAGAATTTCCACTTCTGTAGCAATCCTAGGAAGTCTTTGAGTATGAGTAAGAACAAGGATCTCTTCTCATATTTGACACAATACAGTTCATATAAAATAATAGTTCATATATTTATTTAATACAGGTTATGTCATTCACTTGAGTATTTAACTTAAACTTGTGGAAAATCCTAGTTTCTCTTTGGGATAGGAAATAGACTCAAGTGATTAAAAATCTGCTGGTTACTTTTCCTGATAGCTTTTTGTTCCTTGTTTTTGTAGGAAGTTAAGAATTCTCTGAGGAAAGCTCCAAGATATTTGTGTGGCTTTGTGAGCAATGGAAAGAATTTACAACAAAATATGCTACTGCTCTACAGTGGTATAGAACAAGAACTAGTCAAGTAAGGATCACTGAGACTCCCTTTTACAGAATAGCTTTTCCTGGAGGAAAATGGAACTGCTGTAGAACGACTTCTGTTTGAGGTGATGCTTGCCAAGGAAGCCTACCTTGGAATTTGGCAAAAAGCCATATGTTCTAATTACCTTTACTTTGCAATTTGTGTTCTTGGTAAGAAAGTGCTGCTTGGAAGTAGCTAATAGTGTAGAATTCAGTAATCCTGAGTAAACTCAATTGTTCTGCTGGGCCAGAAACTAAGCAGAAACGAGAACATAAATAATGTTCTACAAAAGACTTGCCAAGGATCTAAACTGCCAGTAGCCAAAGTTGAGCAGTATTATAAATAATCTTTTATGTAGATTATCAAACAGTATTTTCCTTATGAAAAGAGATCATTTTCATATTGAATACGTCATTCCTTGGTCAAGGTAAGGAAAGAACAGCAGTTTCAAGAAAACTTTTATCATAGGAGAGAATATAGAATTATTCTTTCACAATAACAATGCAGTAGAAAGCTTTCAAAGGAAGAATGGTATTTATATGGTTATTAACAGGGTTATTTACTACAAGGCATAAAACTTCATTAGCGTTTTAGAATAGATGAATGTCATTATGAGTATCAGTGTGTCATACTAAAGCAGCTGTTGAAATGCTATACAGCTGTTTTCAGTTACATGAGCATCTATCTTCAGTATAAACTGCTTTATTTTTAAGGTTAACCTGTACTTTTAGTCTGATTTCCCATTGATACTACAAGAGTAAACAACCAGCAAAAAGGCTCCTGTTATCAGGCAGCCTCAATCACTCTCTGCTTTCAGACATTGCTGTCTTCCCCCGCCTTCACTGCTGCCAAAGTTGTTGCATCACCTGCACTGCATTAGGTATATGCCACCCAGGATGCTTTCCCACTGAGAATGCCAGCTGTATTTAGCTGTTGATAATGAAGAGGTTGAAGAGAGCTTTTCAATTCAGAGAAGCTTTAGAATTAGGCTAAGAAGTTTTTACAGGTTATTCTTACCAGAATTAGATACTATCAGACAGATTGAACTGAGTCAGCCTTTATATTTCATTAGAGAGCTTTTCATTTTTTGGATTAATTTCCTGCCATAAGCTCTCACTTCCAGCAGAAGTGGTATGAGTACCAACCTGTGTAACTATCACAGATGATGTGCTCAAAGCAAGTTACAGGGCTGGTAACATGGACAAGCAGTTCATGGGTTTTGTCTGCAGTTAAAGCCTCACAGTGCATCAGAGCATTTGTCACATGGAGAAAAACTGTGGATTTGGTTAGGTTCTTATACCTCAGGTTTTTCCTTTGTGAAGAAAAAGTAGGAGCAGTGCTATGCTTCAGGGCTTAGGTGCCATTGCAGAATAAATGTAGCAGTCTAATTACATACTGCTGCCAAAGGGACAGTCCCTTTTTCCCCTCTCAGCCCCAGCTGCACACTTCTTCCCTTCTATGCAGGGTCATGATCTAGCAGTCATGACCCTGCGTAGTGAGTCAGATCTTGTGTTCTCATGACTAATTTCCCCATCCCAGCACTTTTTGTTTAACACAAGAGAAGGAGCCAGGAGGCCCAACTGGTGGATGAGATGTGTAGAGAATGGAGTAACAGCCTACAGATCAGTTACTTGGTTTGTGAACCTGCAGCCTGAGTATTTAGAAACTCTGTGATCCCAGAAAGAGTATTTTTTGCCATATGCAAAGAGTATCTCAAAAGCTATACCTTCTTACTCATCTGTTTATCACACTGACAGAAGCAGCAATATCATTATATACAATCACAGCTTAAGTTGCTAAATTAGGATTTTTGTCTATTATTCATAAATTCCACCTATGTTACAATTAACTCACCTCTTACACTATAGGTATTGTCTGATTTGAAAAAAAGCCCATTTGACTTCTTCAAAAGGGGTATTAAAAAACTAAGAGTAAACAGGAAGGGTCCAAAGTTTG